TTTTCAATTGTATGTGTTCCACTCTCAATTGATTTCTTCTATCGTTTGAGATTATGAACTACATAATTTCCTTATCACCTTTTGCCTTTCATAATCTTGTACATATTCCTACTTACTCTATTTGAAATTCATATCCTTTTGTATTTATTAACGATTGTTCTATACATATATGTATATACAGACTTATTCCTAAGAAAAACTTACAACATGATCATTCTGCATGATGTCACTATATGTATACTTCGTTTGGGATTAGATAAACAATTCATGTGCTCTTTACAGAGAAAACTATTTCAAACCTCTCAATATTCCTTAGTAGCCTATAAATCTTTGTGCAGATTTGAGGAAACTTTGGTTTTCCTCCCATCCACATTAATGACTTACACAACTAACACAACTGAAAAGGGAGTGCCTCCTCCCCTTCCCTCTGATCCTAGTCTATCAGGTCTCATCAGGAGTAGCTGCATTGTTTTCTTCTTTGCCTGCTAAGGCTGCACCCCCCTCAGGGGGAGATGTTCAAAGAGCTATTTTTCAAGATATAAAATATTGCAATAAAATTTAAAAAATATCGACATACTTTAAAACTGCTTGTTTCTTCACCATATTTTAATTCTTTAACATTTTAAAATAATTAATCAGTAACAATTGATATTAATAAGTAATAAGATAATTTGTAATAAGGTAGGTAATACGTATCTTTTTTTGTAGGAAGCACAAATTGAATTTCATGGTATTTTATCTTTTTCCATTATTATTATTATTATTATTATTATTATTATTATTATTATTATTATTTACTATTCATTTGATTTAGATCGCAGTTGAAGCCCCCTCATTATTTCTTCCTGGTCCCACCATCCATTCCCCTTCCTTCCCTATCCCTCTTCCATAGTCCACAGATAGGGGAAGTCCTCCTCTGCTACTGTCTGACCCTAGCCTATCAGATCCCATCAGGACTGCCTGGATCTTTTTCCTCTGTTGGCTAGTTAGGTCACCAACCATGGAGAAGTGATCAAGGAGGAGGCAAACAAGTTCATATCTGAGATATTTCACAGGACTCAAGGAAGAATAATTTGAGTGACTTCTTCAATGAGGTCTCTGTGTGAACTATGTTAAGAAGGTCAATCAATTTGGCTGACTGAAAAATTAGTTCTGCAATCTAAGACTAAGATCTACTCATTTCTGGCAATTTTATTGTTAAAAACTTTTGAAAAGTTTCAGTTAAAACAAATAAATCTTCCAGAACTGTTTTGTTAGTGGTTTGTTCTATCCGCCACAGTAGTTTTCAGAACTTTAGACCAGTATGGTTTTAGAACAGTAGTTCATATGTGAGGAGTATGTTTTGGTTTGCCAAGTTGGAAAACATGCCCTGAGATCTGAACCCAAATACACAGAATTTATAGGAAAAGACAGAATGAAGCTGCCTATGACTGTAACCCTGTTTTGGGAAGGTGGTGACAGTGGGATTCCTGGGGCTTGTAGTTAACCATTCTATCCAAATAATGAACACTATGTTCAGTGAGATAACCATGTGAGAGTGAATAAACATTCCTTCAAGATAGGTCCTCATATACATGTGTATGTACAGGTATAATTGCACATCTACACACACATTACACACACATACACATACATGAACATATATGCTTGCAGGTTTATACACATAGAGACACAAACACATAATCACAAATACACACATATTTGCAAACAATCACTGATGAACCTGTCTTGGTTCTTGATAAAACACTCCAACAAACCCTGCTTAAGGGAAAAAGAGATTTTTTTTTTCAAGCTCACTTTCATATGAATGACTCAAGATTGGAATTATTTTGTACTACTGATTAAACTGCAACTCCTCACTTAGAAATAATTCCTTCTGTTACCCCCAATCTTCTTTTTTTAAATTTTTTATTAATTACACTTTATTCACTTTGTATCCCCCCATAAGCCCCTCCCTCCTCCCCTCCCGATCCCACCCTCCCTCCCCTTTCTGCATGCATGCCACTCCCCAAGTCCACTGATAGGGGAGGTTCTCCTCTCCTTTCTGATCTTAGTCTATCAGTTCTCATCAAAAGTGGCTGCGTTGTCCTCTACTGTGGCCTGGTAAGGCTGCTCCCCCCTCAGGGGGAGGTGATCAATGAGCAGGCCAATCAGATTATGTCAGAGGCAGTCCCTCTTCCCATTACTATGTAACCCACTTGGACACTGCACTGTCATGGGCTACATCTGTGCAGGGGTTCTAGGTTATCTCCACGAATTGGAGATAACTTGGTTGGAGTGTGAGTCTCTGGGAAGTTCCCTGTGTTCAAATTATCTTGTTCTGTTGCTCTCCTTGTGGAGTTCCCGTCCCCTCCAGCTCTTACTATTTCCCACTTCTTACATAAAATTCCATTCACTCTGCCCATCAGTTGACCCCCAATCTTCTTTTACTGCTCTGCTAATATTTTTTTCTAAAGCACGAGTAGCTTATGTACGTTCCTCAGAGTACTGTTCCTGTATTAATTGTCTTGCCTTTCCAAATAAAAGTCTGAAGCCCTTGAAGAAGGGTCTTCAACTTTTATATTTATTAATAATGGACCAAGAGCTGCAAAAGTGCCCAAATATGGAGGCAAAAAAATTCACATTAGTAATATCAGTGGTATTAATAACGTTCTGTGTTGACCTGTAAGTGTAGAGATATTAGAGTTATTTGTGATTATGAAGTTTTCTTCTTTTAATCTAAGCTTAGGTTAATTTTCTCTTTTCAGTGTGAATGTGGGCTACACTTAGAGATAATTTATGCTTCTCTCTCTTTGTATGTGCATATATATGTATGTATTTGCTTGTATATTATTCAAGTATATATATGTGTACACACATACCTTTTTGCACATACATGTATACATGTGTACACACACATCTACTTTCAGAAATACCACAGTGTTGAGATTTAAAACTGTGCCTCATTGAGAATATAAAAATTAAGGTATTAGGGCTGGAGAGAGGACTCTGCACCTAATCACACTACATCTTCTCAGAGAGGGCCTGGGTTCAATTCTCAGCACCCACGTAACAGCTCAGAACTGTCTGTAACTCCAATTCTATGGGATCTGACAACCTCACACAGGTATACATGCAAGTAAAAAACTAATGTAGTTTTAATATATAAAATAAATTAATCATTGAAAAAGAATTAATGTATTATATTGTCTAAATACAGACAAAATAGTTGTGATTTTTGTTTGTTGTTTGTTTGCTAGATTTCACATACTTTTTTTCTCTTGAAAAACTCTGAGGAATCTTTCTGTTATGAAGTCTTATTTTTCAATGGGAACCTATTTGTGTCATTTATTTTCTGAGTACGCTGTAAGATAAAAATATTAAAAACACTGAGGAGCTGTAAACTGACATGAACTCAGTGGCAGGCTTTCTGATCACCTTTCCCTGGAGGGTGCAGCCATAGAAGGCCACAGAGAAAGATGGTTCCGCCAGGCTTGATGAGAACTGATAGGTTAGAGTCAGACAGAAGGAGAGAAGGACCTACCCTATCAGTGGACTAGGGGAGGGGCATAGGAGGAGAAGAGGGAGGGAGCATGGGATTGGGAGGAGAAGAAAGAGGGGGCCAGAGCCGAAATACAAAGTGAATAAATTGTAATAAATAATACATAAGAAAATTTAAAATATCCAAAATGGAAAAATATGTAAAATCTCCCTTGCTGATAATATAGGCAAGAAAAATTTAAAACAGTGATAAAATAGTCTAATAAAGAAGAATATGAAGGAAAGCTTTCTTTACATGAATCCAACCTCTACACGCTTTGCACATTTGGTGAACTATTTGAAAGGATACAGAAGACATCTGTTATAGAAACTATAAGACTGTACATACATGTAGGAAAAGGGTTTTCTGAGAACCATATGTTTGTTGAATTAAATCCATGAGATCAAGGTGACCCCGAAATCAGAGTTGCCTTTCCAAAGAGCTATTCAAAGGTCAGGCTTCTGAAGTCCCTCATACTATTCTTGCAGTTGTATCTTCTTTTGAATGCACACCAGGCCTAAATTTAGGTAGCATATACTCACTTTCCAAAATATGAGGACATTTGGTTGGCATTGGGATGGAAGATCCCTTTGTATTGACAGGATGTCAGAATCTGGGAGCCATTGTGGAGTTGACTTTGGAGAATTGTAACCAGTGGTACTATGGCCCAAGTGATAGTACTAGCAGGATGTGTATAAAGTTAGACTTACCGGGGAAATAGAGGCACAACTATTTTGATTTTGGTGCAATTTCTGAGATAATTAAGTCCAATTCCAAGGAAAGAATCCATATTTGGTATTGTCATCGAATGCACAGTCATTGGCTTGATAGGCCATAGGATCTAGAGAGGAGTTAAAAGAGTTTTTCTGTTAAATATATGTGATATCTTTCAAACTGACTTCTAAATATCAAAATTATATAATATATATCGATTATTGTATCTGTCAGCTTAGTTTATAGAAAATCACTCTTCACAGTAGTCAGTAACTAATGGCAGAGATTCAGGATAACACTATGGATAACTTACTAATGCTGTGGCATAGTAGTGAAATATTCAAGAAGGAATCCCTCTCTGTTCATAAACATCATGAAAGAAATACTAAAAAATATACAAGAGTCTAAGGAAGGGGAAGTGATTATGAACAACAATTTTCTTCTGTTCTGACATAAGTATTCATCATCAGGCCCTGAGATGACTTCAGAGATATGCAAAATACCTTGGACAAGAAGCAACACGTAGGAACAAGCAGAAAGAAATCCTCCAGAAACAGATAAGAATGCGATAATAAAACTGTTGACATTCCCTGGAGATAGACAGACATCGTTCAAGAATGAATATGATTTCTTGCTGTCGTATGGCTCTGCATGCCCTTGGGGCTATCTGCTAGAATATAAAGTAGGAGGAAACTAGCGAAAAGCATGACTCCAGTGAAGCAGCTCTCCAGACTCAGCACTCATCCTGCTTGGGACCTCTTCCGTGATGGAGCTGCCACTGAGTCAACTTAACTTCTGTAAGTGAATTCTCCCTTATGCCTCTCTGTGTTAAAAGGTCCAGTTAAGTTGTTCACTGAGTTCGATTTAATGGTGTTCTTAGGAATCTTTGATATTTAACCTGGCATGAAGAGATATTTGTTCATAGTTTACCAAAAGTAAAACTCAGCATAAACTTTCTCATATTTTTAACATTATTTTTTGAAAGCAACTGTACAAGAGCACAAGAGACAATTGTATAAGTAGTTTCAATATTCTTTAGCTTGAGACATGTTGCAATTTTGAAGATAGTCTGATTTTTCTCTATTGAAGTGAGAGAAGAAGAAGGAAAATGTTACTGGTTTCCAATGAGTAGAAATGACAAGGATCACTAAACATTTCCCAATGCATAGCATACCTTCCAGAACAAATGCTACAGTACAAAAGGACAATGTTTGGAATTTACAAATTTGGAAAATATTGAGGCTGTAAAGGTCAGTGGGTCCAACTCATCTCATCTCAAGGCAGAAGAAACAGTTTTGATTGTAAGTACTCTTCATTAGTTTTCTTATGGGAAAAAAAAAGCTGAACAAGCTTTACATTCTGAAAACTGAAGTAGAGAAAGATGGCAGATTGTGTCTTATATGTTTCCAGTTTAGTGCAAGCCAAATGATATCACAAAAAAGAGCTGACAAAGCACCATATTTTATAGGAAATATTTGTAGAAAAAAGTATGATAACAAAAATTATTAAATGAAATAAAAATACATTTTTTATATTTTTTGAGAATTTCATTCATGAATATTGTAATATATCACTCATCCAACTCTTCAAAAACCTTTTCCTACGGTCTTTCCCAAGTTCAGCACTTTTTTAAAAACATCATTATTGTTACTTATAGATGTGTGTAAACATATAAACAACCTGTTTAATCCATTTGGTGTTGCTCATATGTCTATGACTTTACACCAAACTATTTGGTATTGAATAATCAAATAAACATTCTGGACCTTTGGCATTTATATTTATTCTACCACTTACTCTAAGATGTTCCCTCAGCCTTACATGTAAGTTTCCTGTTGTGGTGCCTAAAGAGTAGCAATTTTGAGGTTGAAGAAAGCCTGATTAATGTTACAATTTTAAAAGTAAGCATTTTAAAGAGAAAAGAAAACAGATCAAATTGAGATTTAATGCTTCTGGTATAATATACTGACAAATTTATTATGTTTTCTCATTTATTTATTTTTATTCCCTTTACATCCTTTTAGCCCCTTCCCTCCTCCCATTCCATTCCCTCCTCTCCTTCCTCTTTCCCCCTGCCATTTTCTTCAGAAAAGGACGGCTCCCATTCCCATCCACTCCAGCTTTTCAAGTTGCATCATGACTGAACATATCCTCTAACCTTGTGGCCTGTCAAGGCAATCTCACCAGGGGAAAAAGTTTTAAAGGCTACCAAGTGAGTCTTTGTCTGATGCAGTCCTCACTGCTCTTACTAGAGGACCCCCTTGAATCCTGAGCTGCCCATTTGCTACATCTTTGTAGGGGTTCTAGGTACCGTTCATGCATGGTCCTTGCTTAGTGCTTCAATGTCAGCAAACCCCTTTGTTCCCTAATCAGTTGGCTCTGTTGTTTTCCTTGCAGAGCTCCTGTTACTTGCAGAGAATTTTCTTGTTCCTCCCACTATTGCCCAAGACTGCCTAAGCATCAATGTTTGGCTGTGAGTCTCAGCATCTCTTTTGAAGTTCTGCTGAGTAGAACCTCTCAGAGGACAGTTCTGACAGGCTCCTGTCTGCAAGCTGAGCAAAGTATCCTTCATAGTGTCAGGTGTTGGCACTCTTTTATATGGTGGGTCTTTTTTGGGCCAGGCATAGGCTGTGCATTCCTTCAATCTCTGCTCTATCTGCTTTAGCTTTCTCCCTGCACATCTCCTAGGCAGGGTAAATTCTGGTTGGAAGTTTTTCTGGTTGGATTTTCTGTTCACCATCCTTTATTAGAAAACTAGTTGAGTTAGAGGATATCCTCTTCAGTCTTTATGGTATTTGCTACTAGGAGTCTCTGCTTGAAACCCCGTCATACCTTTCCAGGAGCCTCCCTGACTTAGATCTCTAGCATGTCACCAAGATTTCCCCATCCTCAGTTACTCTCTTCTCTACAGGCCTTCTGTCAACCTACCCTTGCTCAAATCAGGTCTGATCTCCACCTACCTAACTCTCTGTGTTCCTTCTCCTACCTTGTCCTACCATTGTGTAAATGTACCACAATTTCTGTATCTACTCCTCCACTGAGGGACATCTAGGTTGTTTCCAGATTCTGCTTTTTAAAAAATAATTTTATTACTTATTACAATTTATTCACTTTGTATCGTAGCTGTGGTCCCCTCCCTCATCTCCTTCCAATCCCACCCTCCCTCTCTCTCTTCTCCCCCTATGCCGCTTTCCTAGTCCACTGTTAGGGGAGGTCCTTCTTCCCTTCTATTTGACCCTACCTATCATGTCTCATCAGAACTGGTTGCATTGTCTTCCTCTGTGGCCTGTCAAGGCTAAACCCCCCACAGGGGGAAGTGATCAGGGAGCCTGACACTGAGTTCATGCCTAAGACAGACCCTGCTCCCCTTACTAGAGAACCAACTTGGAGACTGAGTTTATGGGCTACATCTGAGCAGGGGTTTTAGGTTCTCTTCATGCATGGTCCTTGGTTTGGTTGGGCTATCAGTCTCCATAGGGTCCCAAAGTTCCAGTTTATTTTTGTTTGTTTGTTTGTTTGTTTGCTCTCTTATTCTCCTTTGGGAGCTCCTGTCCCCTCCAGGTCTTTCTATCTCCTCCTTCATAAAATTTCATAAAATTCCATGCACTCTGACCAAAGTTTAGCTATGATTTATCAAAGATTTTATTTATTTACCAAAGCTTTATCCTCTGCTTTGGTACCTTGATCAATAGAGTCTTTCATGGGCCTTCTGTGGTAGGCTCCTGTCCTTTACTCTGTCTCCTCTTGCTTCAGATGTCTATTACATTTGCCCTCCTGAATTAAGAATGAGCATCTTCATAAAGGGTCTTCTTTGTTGGTTAGATTCTTTAGTACTATAGATTTTAGGTTGTTTTCAGTTTCTGGCTAGTATGAGCTATCCAGAGCTGCTATGAGCAAATGGTTGAGCAAATGCCCTTGTTATACAGTTGAGCATATTTTAGATATAGGAGTGGTATAGCTGGCTCTTGAGGTAGCTCTATTTCTAATTATCTTAGAAAAATGCCAGATTGATTTTAAAGCTGGTTGTACAAGTTTACACTACCACCAGCAATGGAGGAATGTTCTGCTTTACCCAGACCCTCACCAGCATAAGCCTTGGCTTGAGATTTTGTTCTTAGCCATTCTGACTGGTGTGAGAATTTCAGAAACATTTTGATTCACATTTCCATGATTACTAAGAAAGTTGAGCATTTCTTCTTTTGTTTTTGTAATAGTTTTTAAAATACTTTTTATTTATTTTTTTTTTACAATTTATTCATTTTAAATCCAGATTGTAGCCCCTCCCTCATCAACTCCTGCTCTCACCCTCCCTCCCTATTCCCTTCCCCTAGTACACTGAAAAGGGGAGTTCTCCTCCCCTGCTACCTGACCCTAGCTTGTCAAGGCAATCAGGACTATCTAGATCCACTTCCTTATTTGCCTGGCAAGGTCACATAGCCAGGAGGAAGTGATCAAAGAGCTGGCAGCTCAGTCCATGACAGAGGCAGTTCCTGCCCTCCTTACTTGGTGCTCCACATGGAGATTGAACTGTCCATTGGTTACATTAAGCAAGGGGTCCTTGGTTGATGCTTCATTTTTTGTATAGCACCATTGGCTCAGACTGTTTTTAGCTTTGTTGGTCTCCTTGTGGGGTGCCTGTCCCCTTCAGGTCCTCCTATCCTCATCTTCCTTCTTCCATAAGACACCATGCACTCTGCCCAAAGTTTGGCTGTGATTCTCAACATCTGCTTCCATTTCCTGTTGGGTGGAGCATTTAGAGGACCTCTCTGGTAGCCTTCGTCCTGTTCTCTCTCTTCCACAGCTTCTGGTGTTTTTCCTAGTTGCCATTCTGAATGAGAATTAAGCATCCTCCCTAGGGTCCACCATGTTGTTTAGCTTTTTTAGGTCTGTAGATTTTTGTATCATTATCCTATATTCTATCCTAATATTGGCTTATAAGTGAGTATATACCATTTATGTCTTTATGGCTCTGAGAAGATTTCTTTAAGTGCTTCTCAGCCATTTGAGATTCCTCTGTTGAGATTCTTCGGTTTGGTTCCTTGCTCCATTTTTAAATTGGGTTATTTTGTTTATTCTTGTTTGATTTTTGAGTTCATTATGTATTTTGTACTAAATGTGTAGAACAAAGAGAGAATATTAAAAGCTGCAAGGGAAAAAGACCAACTCACATATAAAAGCAAACATATGAAAATTACATGTGATTTCTCATCAGAAACTCTAAACACCATAAGAGCCTAGACAGATATCTTACAGATACTAAGAGAACACAGATGTCAGTCCAGACTACTATCCCCACCAAAACTTTTAAACAGCATAGAGAAAAAAAAAGATATTCAACAACAAAAACAAATTAAAAATACCTATCCACAAATCCAGCCATACAGAAGATACTAGAAGGAAAACTCCAACCCAAGGAGGCCAACTGAACCTAGGAAAGCACAGGAAATAAATAACCCCACATCAGCAAATCTTTAAGGTGGGAAGCACATATACTCTATCACCAACAACATCAAAATAACAGGAAGTAACAACAACTAATCATTAATATCTCTCAACATCAATGGCATCAACTCCCCTATTAAAAGACACAGGTTAACAGAATGGATATGAAAACAGGATCCATCTTTCTGCTGCATATAAGAGACACATCACAGCAATAAAGATAGCCTCAGTGTAACTGGCTGAAAAAAAAAAGGTTTTGCACTCCAACAGACCCAAGAAGCAAGCTGGAGTAGCCATTGTAGTATCTAATAAAATAGACTTTAAACCAAAATCAATCAAAAGAGATAGAGAAGGACACTTCACACACATCAATGGGAAAATCCACCAAGATGATGTCTCAATTCTCAATATTTATGCCCCAAATGCAAGGGTACCCTCATTCATAAGTGAAACATTATTAAAATTTAAATCACACATCGAAACCCACCTGTTAATAATGGGAGACTTGAACACCCTACTATCTCCAATGGACAGATCGATCTTCAATACAGAAACTAAATGAGGAAAAAATAAAATACAGACATCATGAATCAAGTGAGCTTAACAGATAACTACAGAACATTTTACTCAAACACAAGAAAATAAACCTTCTTCTCAGCAACTCACAGAACCTTGTTCAAAATTGACCATATACTCTGCCACAAAGTAAGCCTCAGCAGATATAAGAAGACTGAAATAACTCCCAGTATCTTATCAGACCACCATGGATTAAAGTTCAACAACAGCAGAAATAATGGAAAGCCTATAAATTCATGGAAACTTAAAGACTACATATTCAAAGATCAGTGGGTCAGGGAAAAAATAAGGAGAGAAATTAAAGAGTTTCTAGTATTCAATGAAAATAAAGGTACAACATACTCAAACTTATGGGACAAAATGAACACAATTCTAAGAGGAAAGTTCATAGCACTAAACACCTTCCTAAAGAAATTAGAGAGATCCCATACTAGTAACTTAGCAGCACACCTGAAAGCTCTAAAGTAGAAAGAAGTAAATGAAACAAAGAGGAGCAGTTGACAGGAAACTCAGGACTGAAATAAAAAATTAGACACAAATAGGACAATACAAAGAATCAATGAAACCAAGAGCTTTTTTTTTTTTTTTTTTTTTTTTTTTTTAGAAAATCAACAAGATAGACAAGCCCTTAGCCCACTAACTAAAAGGCAGAGGGAGGTTATCCAAATTAACAAAATCAGAGACAAAAAAGGGAACACAACAACAAACACTGAGGGTTTCAAAAAATAAATCATTAGGTATTGCTTCAAAAGCTCATATTCCACAAAATTAGAAAATATAAAGGAAATGAACAATTTTCTGAATAGATTTCTTCTTCTGAACTTGAATCAAGATCAGGTACATAATTTAAACAGTCCAATAACACCTAAGGAAATAGAAGAAGTCATCAAAAGACTCCTAACCAAAAAAAAAAAAAAAAAAAAAAAAGACTATTTTCAGATTGTTTTCTCTCAAAATTCTACCAGACATTCAAAGAAAGAGCTAATACCAATACTCCTCAAATTATTCCACAAAATAGAAACTTAATTTATTCTATGAAACTACAGTAACCCTGAGACCTAAACCACACAAACACTCCATAGTTATTTTCAGATCAGTTTCACTCATGAACATTGATGTAAAAATATTCAACAAAATATGTGAAAACCAAATTTAAGAACAGATCAAATTCATCATCCACCATAATCAAGTTGGCTTCATCCAAGGGATGCAGAGATAGTTTGACATATGAAAATTGCTCAGTGCAATCTGCCATATAAATAAACTGAAAGAAAAAAAAAATCAAATGATTATCTTATTTGATGTAGAAAAATTCTCTGACAAAATCCAACATCCCTTCATGATAACTGAAGGGATAATCCAGCATCCCTTTCTATAAGTCTTGGAGAAATCAGAGATACAGATCTTTATCTAAACATAATAAAGCCTACATACAACAAGCTGATTAGCAGCAGCATCAAATTAAATGGAGAGTAACTCAAACAATTCGCTAAAATCAGGGATAAGACAAGGTTGCCGACTCTCTCCATAACTCTTCAATGAAGTAGTTGAAGTTCTAGGGAGAGCAATAAAAGAAATTAAGGGCATACAAATCAGGGAGGAAGAATTCAAAGTAATGCTATGTACATATGATATGGTAGCATGTGTTAATGATCTCAAAAATTCCACCAGTGAACTCCTACACCTGATAAGTAGCTTCAGCAAAGTGGCTGGATACAAGATTAATTCAAAAAACAAACAAACAGCAGCCCTCCTGAACACAAAGAACAAACTGGCTGAGTTTGAAATTAGGGAATCCTCCTCACAATGCCTACAAATAATATAAAGTATCTTGGTGTAGCTTTAGCCAAGCAAGTCAAAGAGCTGTATGACCAGAATCTCAAGTCTCTGAAGAAATAAACTGAAGAAGATGTCAGAAGATAGGAAGATGTCCCATGCTGGTGGATTGATAGGATTAACATAATAAAAATGGCCATCGTACCAAACACAGTCTACAGATTCAATGCATTTCCCATCAAAATACCAACACAATTCTTCACATACCTTGAAAGAGCAATCCTAACCTTCATATGGAAGAACAAAACAGAACAGAACAGAACAGAACAGAACAGCTGTTCAATGCCAGATATTCAATACCAAGTCACACAATAAGGCAAAATTTTTACACATAAAACTTTACTTAATCTTTTGAGCTTTGGAAACCTCAGATTAATGTATCATCCCTAAGTGGCTCTTGTTTCTATGTAGCAGGGACACTCCTGCTTTTGGTGATGTCAAACCTGCTGCAGTGGGAGAAAGCTACATCAATTCTTACATGTCATACTGAAGATGGAGGCTGTATGGAGCCCCTTGTGGAAACATTTAACAATGCCATCAACAAAGCTGAAACTATCCATAACCTTGTTCATCAATTACATGAAGAGTTTGTAAGTACCTCAACCTTCCTGCTAATGTTTGAACTGCTCTAGATCTGAGACATTACGTATCATGACCCAAATATGAGAAATATACCTTAAAAGGTAAAGAACCCACGAGCTACTGAAACGTGCACAGGGTCGATTGCACAGCTTCAGAAATTTCAAAGAAACCAATGAGTTTTTTAGTTTTTTTTTCTATAATAAAAAAACAAAAACCTATGGTATAAACCTTTAAATTTTGCCCAGGTAAGGTATTCTCACTTTCCATTGGTGTATTCAGGGTCACGAACTTCCATCGATTATGTTCATTTAGCACATTGCAAATATTCACTGTAGAAGATGTGTATTGCAGTGATACAGTGGACTACAAATTTGGAACACAGGTAAACTAAATCATGGGAATTGGAAAGGAAAAAAGAAAGAAAAAAGAAAGAAAGAAAGAAAGAAAGAAAGAAAGAAAGAAAGAAAGAAAGAAAGAAAGAAAGAAAGAAACTTAGTCTTTCAAGTAACCCCCTATTGGGAAATGTGATTTAAAGGTTTTCAGTGCTCTAGTTTGTCCAATATCTGTTCCTTTCTATATGTCATTTCTCAAGGTCAGAAAATACAAAGGAAGAGAAAATAGGCAAACATTCAGTATGTTGAATATCAGGAGAATGTGTCTCTGTTTGCAATAAACATGTCTTCATCTTCGGGGTTTTTTTAATATTATTATTGACTGAATTTTATTTTTTTTCCTTTACATGACTCAGTTCTACAACGAATTTTCTTCCAGTCAGTTTTCTATTATTGTAAGTACCTAACTTCTTCCCAGCTGCTTCCCAAAGGCAGCCTCTTGTCAATGTTTGCAACTTAAATGAGAAAGCATCACACAGTATTTTTAGTTTCTATTCTTAACTGACAGTTTTTCAACTTCCTAACCTTCACAATAATCCACTAAACCTCCAAAACTTGGTGATTATTAGAAGTAATTAAGATATTCTAAATTATATATTTAAACAAATTTAATATTTCATTAGTCATTCAAAATTAATACATAACATTAATGATGTTTTATAATTTTGATGACTATAGTTTACTATAGAAAATTCTATTTTTCATGAATAATATTGTCACAATGCAAAAAAATTTATTATAAAACTATTATCATCTTTGTCTTACACAGCTATATTTACGCAATGTTAAATTAATGAATTTATAATTATGATGTCCGGGTAAGAAGATATCATTATTTATCGACAGAAAATAGAATGATTGATAAATATGTGATTTGGCTTTGTGCTGAAATACTACAGAAAGATGATAATTAAAACATTTAGTTTTGATAAATTTACCCCTTTCAATGTTGGTCTTGTTAATAGTAACTTTCAGGAAAAGTGAAAAGATTGTAGAAGAAGAGAGGAGGGGTACAAATGTGAGTGAGAACCCACATTAAGATGCAGGTATATGAGACACAGAATAAGGTGATGGGTACTTTCTTAATTTGTTAATATCAGCATTCATGAAGTACTTATTGTTAAAATTTATATAGCCATCAAAATGCTTTAATATTCTGGTTATGAAGTCATTTAAACAATTTCTAAAGTCTAAATAAATTTTTGTGTTTGTTTTGAGGTTGACCGAGTGCATAAGAGGGATCAGACTGCTTTCACAGCCAAAATTTCCTGTCATTCTAATACCACAAACCCTACAGCTAGTGGAACTGAACAAACAAATATAAAAGTAAGTTTCCTTCATGGGTTTTTCACAAAACATCACAGGCAACGCACTAGATTTGTGCTGTTTTTGGTTATTTTAGGCATTTTGATAGATGCAATAATCATGCATGTAGGAAAATTGGAGGAAAGCATAAATAGTATGTTTTATTTTTTGATAAATAAATGAAATACACTATTAACAGTATAGCAAATTCTTAAATAGTCCTTTTAGAGGATGGTATTTTAGGGAGGACTTGACACTGAAATTATATTTACTACTTTTTAGAATATTTTGAGCTAAATTGGCTATTTGTGATTATATATTCACACCTATATAAGTGATGGAAATGAAGCTGTATTCATTATATGCTGTTAAGGTGTTCTTTATGGCTGTATGACTGAATACTACTCCTTCTCTATATGTCCTGGCTCTATTTCTATTTTTTTAACTTTTTTTTATTAATTATACTTTATTCATTTTGTATCCCCCCATAAGCCCCTCCCTCCTCCCCTCCCATTCCCACCCTCCCTCGCCTTTCTGCATGCATGCCCCTCCCAAAGTCCACTGATAGGGGAGGTTCTCCTCTCCTTTCTGATCTTAGTCTCTCAGTTCTCATCAAAAGTGGCTGCATTGTCCTCTACTGTGGCCTGGTAAGGCTGCTCCCCCCTCAGGGGGAAGTGATCAAAGAGCAGGCCAATCAGATTATGTCAGAGGCAGTCCCTCTTCCCATTACTATGTAACCCTATTTCTATTTTTATTTCTATTTTTTCTATCTCCCTCTCTTTCTGTGACTCTCTATGCCTTAATATAAATCCAGAAGAGCAAAATAATTCTGTTGAATACTAGCATTATGTTTCTTAGTACACAACAATTCCCCAATTCATGTAGATATTATCTACATATCACAGTCGTTCTATTTTATGGTTGCTATCATCTCCTCATTCTGACTCCCTATAATATAATATAAGAATATGACTTAAGTGGGATATTATATGACAGCAATAGGGAAAGTGAGGACAAAGATATGAAGAAAATGATTCCCTAGAGGTACAATTTTTGTAGACATGTCAAAAAGTACTCTCTTAGCATTGCTATATTTGCACCTCACAAAAAACTTAATGAGAGGCGGTAACTAATAAAAAGAAATGGAGGTTTTGAAAAGTTTTACAAGATATTTACGCTTGCCTGGAATTTAAGAATGCAAGTGGGCACTCCATTCAACTGCAGATCTCAAACTGAATCATGTGACAGCTTGTTCCCATTTATTGCCATCACTATTTGCCTGCTCCTTTCTTCAATGGCATTTATATCTTCCTAGTGTAATGAATGGGACTTAGTCTACTCTCATTTTTATCATCACCGAGGAAACTGAAAAACCTCAGTAGAGTGAATAATTTAAATCACACATGAGCATTAAATACTGGAGAATCAAAATTCTGCTGTGATTTTCATGGATTCTATTATTAAAGCCAATGTTCTGTCATAGTTATTCACATATTCAGGCCAACAAATATACTGCTTTTTCAGAGGCAAAGGAAAAGCACAAAAAGGAGTACCACACTCTCTTCATTGTATCTTTGTTCTCATTTATTAATTTCACCTAGAAATCATACATGTGTACATTAATGAAAGCCATGAATCTCTGAGTGAAAATGATTTAAGCCACTTTCTCTGGTTAGAGCCATCTATCTTTCCTGAGTCAAATCTTATTGGCATCTAGTGAGCCCCAGAAAGACCTGTTTTACCAATTGATAGACAAATAACCAAATAACAAATGTCTCATTATAGAGGAAGGTGTTTGAATTTAACAAGCAGGACATAACATGAAGTCCTATCTCAGAAAAATGCTCATTTATAAGCATCATAATTTATTTTATTTTGTAGACAATAGACAAATGTTTAAAATTTACATTCCACACCATGTAATATCTATATTACTTGTGTCATTATACATAGTTAAAAACATGTTTCAGTTTAGCTTCTCTACGTGAACATTACATGCAACAACCTGCTTTACTGAAATTTTTAAATGCAATGTTTCTACCTTGTTTTCTCAGACCAAAAGATATATAAAAATTATTATCAATTCTGTGGGTGCCTGGATCAGCCCTCTATATCATCTGGTGATTGAACTGAGTGCCATGGAAGGAGTTCCTGAAACTATCCTTTCAAAAGCCAATGAGATGGAAGAGAACAACAGAGAAATCCTGGATGACCTTAGATGGATACTCACCAAGGTGAGAAATTTCCCATTAGATATTCTGATTCATAAAACAGATAGTTTCTAAAAATTAAAAAAAAAATATTCTGAAATACTTCTTTTTCCAGAGTGAAACATAGAGTTCTGATTTTGTGAGCAATCTTCTTGTAAGACTATGTTTCTTAACCTGTGGGTTATTACTCTTTTGGTGGTCAAATGACCCTTTCACAAGGATGGATTATCAGATCCTGGATATCAAATGTTTCCATTATGATTAATTACAGTCACAAAATATCAGTTATTAAGTAGCAACAATAATATTTATGGTTGATGCTTACCATAGCATGAGGAACTGTATTAAAGGCTGACAACATTGGAATAGGCGAGAAATGCTGCTCTAAGAAGTTGCTGGCAGCTCCAACCCTCTCAGAGATTCTTCTTGTCACCAACCACCAGGGGGATTGGAATGAAAAACAGTTGCTAATCTTAGGGACTTAGAGAACACTATTCCTGGATAGAGTGAAAAGAGCTCAGCTCCTTTGAACACAGTCATCTTTTGACTCTGCTTATTAAATCACCATCTGATATTCATCACGTGAGATTTTCATCATAATCATCACAAAAATGGATTTGATTGAAATGTATAAAAAATAGTGGTGCATATCAGCTTCTGTAAAACACAAAGGACATGCAGGAGTCTTCTGAGTGAAAATTTGACACCAGCTCTTCCAATGTCCCAGAATCAAATAGAAATTTCCTAGTTCTCTGCTTTGAAAGGACATAGTTTCTTCCTAATCCATTACATGTTAGAACAAATTCAGATGAGTCCTGAGCATCCTTTCTAAACGAGTAGCTGCTTGAGAGTCTCCTGGCCTGGATAAATGAATACCCGTTACTCTGATGGAAGCAGTACATTTCTGAATGTGTTTTTCTGATTAAACAAGTAAGAAACAGGGAGAGAGGAACTCTAACAATATACTCAACAAGTAACGCACTCTCATTTTGATTTATAGGCCTATCCTAAAACAAAGAAGAAGGAAAACTTTCCCAGCTGGAACTATCTCCCATTCTTAAAGTCAAATGACAAATATTATAAGTTTTTGGCAATGTACAACCTTTCTAATTGCCTAAAAACTAGTATATCCCACACTACGCATCATCTCAGAGTTCTGAAGTGTCAAGTAACCAGAAAAGGTTGCTAAGTGCACCCTGTCTGCTTTGAAGGTGGTCCATGACAGCCCACTGCTGAGAAGTTTCTTGTAATTTTATACCTTTGAGTGAATTTGTGGGTGTAATGTGTCTCTCATTACAAAATAAAAACCATTCTTCTCAGAAATATTCATGTCTAAAAGCCTATTTTTTATTCGCTAAATAGAATGCCAGTCAACAAAGTTAGCATGCCCCTATCAAATTTATAACAAACAATAGTTGTTAAACATGCAAAAAAAATTTACAGTTCATTTCGGTTCATTACTCAGAATATTGCTTCACGTAAAAGTAATGGAAGTCAAGTTATTAGAAAGTTTCAACTCTAACAAATCTCTGTACCATAACAAGAAATATAAAGTTCATAGTGCTTCATGAAATCCAGACTGTTCTGAGGAAACAAGGTTCACAGTGAAAGCACAGTGAAAGCCAATAAAATTGATATTTAAGTCCACAGCCCCAAGAGGGCTGGGAGGGAGAGTGGCATGGTGTGGATATGGTAAAAACACAGTGAATTGATGGATGAAATTTCCAAGGAATTATTTTTTAAAAATTAAAAACTGTTTTAGGATGCAAATACCAGTTAGTCAAGACTCCTAGTAAGCAGAGGATGGGCGGTCACTGGCATAAATTCTGTTGCATGCTTTTTGATCACTTCCCCCTGGTGAATAGGCCTTGACAGGTCACAGAGGAAGATGATCCAGACATTTCTGAGGGATTTTATAGACTAAGGTCAGATCACAGGGCAACAGGATTCCCCATTTCAATGGACTAAGGGACGGAATGGGCAAAAGCAAGAGGAAAGACCAGGAGAAGATGAGAGAGAAGAGGCTACAATTGGAATATAAACCGAATAAATTAAAAAAATTAAAATTAAAAAAAATCACAAAATTATGAATGATTTATTTTCTGTCAAGCACAGAGGTACACACACACACACACACATACACACACACACACAGAGAGAGAGAGAGAGAGAGAGAGAGAAAGAGAGAGAAATACACACACATTTTATTTTTCCGGTTTTTTGAGACAAGGATTTTTTGTGTAGTCCTTGCTGTCCCAGACTTGTTTTGTAGAACAGCTTGCCCTGAACTCACTGATATGCACCTGACTCTGCCTCCCCGAGTTCTGGGACTGTAGACATGTGTCAGCCCGCCAAGCTCAGCACATATTTTTCAGTATAATATGTGCAAGCATAATTTAACATAGGATGAGATGACTGCTGACCATGGTTAAGAAATTTTCATGTAAGGAATGTAAAGGCCACTAATAAAACCTAAATCAATAAGGTATGGTAGAAGGTAGAGTCAAAGTAACACAGATCTCATTATTTTCTCCATAGAGGTGCAGAAGGCTTTTTACATCTGTGACCGTCCTTTCATGATAAACACCCTAATTAACCTGGGAAAATATGAATAGATACAAATATAATGAATGCAAACCGTGATAAAACTGATGCCATCATTGCACCAAATGGAAAAACAATACGGTTTTATATTTCAAGGCTATCTATTCTCCAACTTGTACTCTTACTAAATATTTTGCTTAAGATCAATGCTAGAAATATAAAACAAGAAATTACAATAAAGGGGGCGTAATAAAATAAGTTCTATACTTATCGCTATTTCAGATTACTTGATTCTATAATTCAAGTACACAAAAGGATTCCACCAGAAAATTGTTGCATCAGATAAGAGTGTCAAAAGATAGAAAGATGGAATAAAAATAAGTCTTGTATGTGTATATATATATATATATATATATATATATATATATATATATATATATATACACATCTATAAAAATGTTAGAATGGAGTTCTTAACAGGGTATGGCTATGCCCCTACTAGAACCACAAGATAACAAATAAAGAGATTGAAAAACACAGTGCCAAATATAGATTACATCTTTTCAAGCTGCTGATGATTAAGGTTCCATAGACCACAAACCAAAAAGTCTATTGCCAGTGCTTCTTGTTATTCTCTAGAACTTAATGGTAAAATACTATTACTGAGTATACCATACACTTGAAGCATAGAAGAAAGAACGACCAAGATATGACATGTACCTGGATGATTCATCACTACTGCCTAACTTTCATGGTATAGAAGGTGCTATGAATGCTACAAGAGGGGAAAAGCAATCATCAGCTATACCCAGGCATGCAGCCTGTGAGCTACCACAGCAGCCTGCCTGGCAAGATATGATCGTTGTTACAATAATAGCACGAATGTCCTGGGATTAACTAACTACTTTCTGGTTATGTTTAATGACTGCTATATATTATGGAACCCATAGCTTGTAGTTATAATAGTTATCAAAGCCCCAAACTTGTGGATAGACAGGTCATGTTCCTAGGGAAGAAACTAGTAGAATTTTTCTGATAATGGGACATACTATTGAACTGGCTATCAGTAACTTACTGTTACATGCCCAGCTTAGCGCCTCTCTCAGCCAAATCAGTCCATGTTGAATATAAAAATTTAAAACTCTTTCCAGAGTATATAAATTATCACTCTACAGACCAAGTCTTACCAGAAATAATCGTTATGTAATTTAAATTGTAGCATACATGTTTCTATAATTACATTATGCTTTATAACTCAAAGTTTGAGTAAAGAACAAATACATTGATAATAGAAATGGCTATTCTGAAGCATTCCCTAGTCAATGTAAGAATATTTAATCTTTAAAATTTTTTTATTATCATAATTTATTAAAATTTATTCAATTTGCATTCTGGCTGTGTTCCCTTCCCTCATCTCTTCCCAATCCCACCTTCCCTTCCTATAATCCCCCTATACCCCTCCTAGTCCACTGATAGGTGAGGTCTTACTCCCCTTCTATCTGACCCTAGACTATTGGATTTCATCAGGACTGGTTGCATTGTCTTCCTCTGTGGCCTGGCAAAGCTGCACCCTCCCCCAGTGGAAGCTGATCTGCCACTAGAGAAAGCCCTTTTTTTAAATTTAAATCTAGTGTTAAATGTTCTCTACATACATAAGTGAATACAGGAACTCTTACAGTGATCAAACAAAATATTATTTTATGCATAATTTAAATATATGATTTTTATAGTTTCAGAAGTAGCTGAGAATAAAAATATAGGTCCTTATATTCATGCTGAAGAATGTACTAGTGACTAAAGACCATTAGATCTTTTATTATCTGACTGCCAATTGTCAAATAATAAATTTTCTGAAATTTCATATTCGAATCCTTTCTGGAAGAATGTAAATTCGGGGACACTCTGACAACAAAATAATAATGTAAACAATAAACTTAACTCACCGTAGTTATTATTATGGATCACAGTTTGTATACATGATTAAGAAGAAATAATAAGTACTCAAATGTTAACGATAAAAATCACAGCAATCAGAGAGGAAAAGCTATTAATGTGTTACAGAGTAGTTTTCAACATCTCAAGACTTTTAAGAAAAAGAAGGGTTGTAGAGTCCTATGGAAGAGTTTGGAGAACAATTGAGGGAGTGGGATGGGGCCAGGGGGTGCACAAGAAGGAAGACCTACAGAGTCAACTAATCTGGACACATGAGGACTCACAAAGATGGAACCACCAAACAAAGAATATTCATCAATTTTTGGTAACTGTTCTGATGTTGGTCCTCAAGATCTGGTTACATCTATCCTTGTTCTATAAACCTGCCTAAGACATACTTGATTGCTTGAATAAACAGCCTATACCTAGGTAGAGCAGAATGGGGATGACATAGCTAAGGTTCCAGGGATTTAGAGGCCAGGAAAATCATGGGAGTTAGACATATCTAAAGAGAGGAGGAAGGAGGACAGCATAATGGGTTAATGTATAGAAGGAATCACGTGGGCCTGGAGGAAGAAATCCAGTATTGGAATGGAAAGTCCCAGATGAAGAATATAAGAAAATATTTATAAGATCATGGATGGAAGATAGGTTAGATGAGGATGGTTTAGGAGGATGGCATTGGACGGGGGCTGTGAGATGAATGGTGAGGTTATTGATACAGCGTAGATGAAATATTTGCTTGGTCCAATGTAATAAGGCAATTATAAATTCTAAAAGGTGTCTGTATTTTATTATTATGATAGGTGGATCTTATTGTCATGATAATCATAGGTTAAATAATAAAAAAATATAGCTCAACAATCCTTATTATTTAATACCACACATGAGCTTGTCCTAAGCCCCATGAATATATTTAACAGATGCACAGTTTCACCTACATGTGGATCTCCCAACAACTGGAGCAAGAGGAGTCTCTGACTTCAGATCTAGTCTCCCTTCAGATCTAGTTCCTCTAACTAGGCTTTAGTGGGAGATGATGTGTCTAGTTCTTCAGAGACTTAGTATAACAGGGCAGGATAGTACACTGGAGGACCTCCCCTTTCTCTCAGAAGGACAGGAGAGAATTAGGAAGAGGGGCACACAAGAGTGAGGATTGGGAGAAGAGGATGGGGCTGCAATCTGGGTTTATTACATAAAAAAAAAAACAGGGTGAGTAAATAAATAAAACTAAAAACAAAAAAATGTAGAGGTGTTTGGTATTATTCTTGGAATGAAATGTGCCAAAAAAGATAAGAGATTTGATTAATCATGTGAAAAAGTTAAGTTTTTTTTTTTTTTTTTTTTTTTTTTTTTTGTCTCCCAAGGGTCAAAATAACAGTGGAGAAACATCTAATAAAACCTGGGATTCAGTTTAACCAAGTGAAGGTATTTATTTTTATTTTACTGTAAATAAATATATTATAAAAATAATATTGAATAAAATAATTTCTAAAAATCAATAAAAAGAAGATGTAAATGTACAGGTAGGAAAAAGAATGATTCTGTATTTATTTATGGAAAAATGTCTCTCACGGGGTCATGTACCTGAAGGTATCATACTTCTTTTCAGTTACACAGCCATGGAAGATTTCAGAACCTTAAAATCATTAGTAAGATTTAAAAATCTATGGTTCTCCCTATAAAGAATTCACACAACCTACTGAGTAAGGGCAGTAACAACACAAATAGGGGGAAAAAAGTATCAGAATGAAAGGAGGAATGAAATAAAGGGAGAGGTGGAGAGATTAAAAAGTCAGTGAAGGAGATAAAAATGGGAAGAACAGGAAAACTCAAGAGGATTGGAGAATAGATAAATCAAGATGAAAAGGGAGAGGGCAGAAGATGAGAAGGGAAGGGAAGAGAAAGAAAGAAAAGCAAATTTCACCTACTAATGTATTTAGCTAAACTTCTATATCCAAAAATTATCTTATGAAGTGGCTGGAGGTACAGGAGTCTGACACTGTTATAGATTCTAGAGGGGAGTTTTGAATTCTCTATTGCCATCACATGAAGTTCATCCTTGTATGTAAAGAAGCGTCAATGCTGGTGATTCAGGAATATGTACTGCTTAATAGAGATTCCTTACCAAAGTTTCAGCCAAGCATAGCATGTTTGCTTGTAAAATTGTTGGCATCTTCAAGCGTAAATGTATATTGGGTAGATGTAGGAAAGCCTTATTTGTGATTGAAGATGAGTTGTCATAAACATTCCCAACCATGATTGGTATGTTTTACTCGTGTATCACTAGGGACCCAATATAAGCTTTGAGGTAGTCATCCTCACAATACTATTAATAATCAGATTCTCCTCCAATGGGGTTAACCTCTCCAAGGGGCTAGCTTTTAAGGAACGTAGCAACTTGGAAGAAAACCAGGATCGCTTGAGGTCTCTGGTAAACAAAAGATACTTGTTTTCTTTGCCTTCCTTTGGCTGCCAATATGGATGACTAGTTATTCAGGGTAAAATATGGCATTCTCTGACAGAATACTGTCTGTCTTGACCTAGGCCCGAGGCATCAACATGCAGCAGTTCTCTTTAGTCATCAATTATGACCTTCCCACCAGCAGGGAGAACTACATCCACAGAATTGGTTGAGGTGGTTAGTTTGGCCGTAAGGGTGCGGCTATTAACGTGGTGACAGAAGACAAGAAGACCCTTCGAGACATTGAGATTTTCTACAACACCTCCATTGAAGAGATGCCCCTCAATGTTGCTAACCTCATTTGAGAGGCTGTCCTGCAACTGGGCACTAGCCAGGGTTCAGGCCTGGGGGACTGAGGAACAGCTGGTAAGGGGAGAAGGGAGCCAAGGGATGGACATCTTGGTTTTTTTTGTTTTGTTTTGTTTTGTTTTTTGTTTTTTTTCTCTCTCTTTGAATAAATGTCACTTTTTTGAGGCAAAATAAAAAGAATCGGGTTCTTTTCATTCATGAGTTGAGCACTGAAGAAATGGACTGTGTTCTGCAGGTCAAGTAGACCATCAGGTAGATGACTCTCTAATGAGATTGTTGCTTCAATAATTGGATAGTAAGTTTCCATAAAGTCAGTATTATGAACAGGTCAATACACAAAAATGACACGTAGAAATATATAATGATGCAAACAAGACTCTACGATTTATAAATTAATTCACCAAGAGTTCTTGTAACAAAGCGGTCAATATAACATGGATATATTGTGAATTGTGGTTACAAGTGCCACAGTAGATATATTAAAATATTTATTCAAATTAAAATGTAAGAGGGCAAGTTCCTTAACCTTCTGAAATTTATTCCACAAAGAAAAAAAAATCCTGGACTCAAGCTTCCACACCAATATCAGATAGTAGAGACACTTTACTTCATATTGTCTTGTACAAAAATTGACGAAGATGATTCCACATGGTTCTGAGTTATAATGGAGCTTCCCCATAAAGAGTCAGTACAGCCTTACTCAATACAATAGGCTAAGAAATAAAAAGTCCAGTGTCAGAAATGGTTTTTCCTTTGTAGTTGTTCTGTGAGTAACCATAGATTAAAAAAAAAAATTAAAGCCTACTGCCAATTTTGTTTTGATGACAGTGTCCTTCGATTTACAGAAGCTTTTCTCAATAGAGGAATTATCGAATGGCAGATAAACACTTAAAGAAATGTTCAACATCTTTAATCATCAGGGAATTGCAAATCAAAACTACACTGAGATTTCAACTTACACCCATCAGAATGGTTAAGATGAATAACTCAAGTGACAACACATGCTGGAAAGGATGTGGAGAAAGGGGAACCCTCCTCCACTGCTGATGGGAATGTAAACTTCTACAACCACTTTGGAAATCAATCTGGTGCTTTCTCAGACAACTAAGAATAAAGTTTCCTCAAGATCCAGCCATACCACTCGTAGGCATATATCCAAAAGAGGCTCAAGTACACAATAAGGACATTTGCTCAGCCATGTTTGTAGCAGCTTTATTTGTAATAGCCAGAAGCTGGAAACAGCCCAGATGCCCCTCAATTGAGGAATGGATACAGAAATTGTGGTATATCTACACAATGGAATAATACTCAGCAATAAAAACAAGGAAGTCATGAAATTTGAAGGTAAATGGTGGGAACTGGAAAAGATCATTCTGAGTGAGGTATCCCAGAAGCAGAAAGCCCCACAGGGTATATATGTGTATATATCAACTCATAAGTGGATACTAGACATATAATTAGGATAAACATACTAAAATCTGTACACCTAAGGAAGCTAATCAGGAAGGAGGACTCTGGCTAAAATGCTCAATCCCCCTTCAGAGAGGCAAAGAGGATGGACATCGGAGGAGGGAGAAAACAGGGAACAGGACAGGAGCCTACCATAGAGGACCTCTGAAAGGCTCTACCCTGCAGGGTATTGAGGCAGATGATGAGACTCATAGCCAAATTTTGAGCAGAGTACAGGGAATATTATGAAAGAAGTGGGAGACTGTAAGACCTGGAGAGGACAGGAGCTCCAAAAGGACAGCAACAGATCCAAAAAGTCTAGGCACAACAGTCTTTTCTGAAACTGATACTCCAGCCAAGGAGCACTCATGGAGATGATCTGGAAGCCCTGCACAGAGGTAGCCTATGGCAGTTCAGTATCCAAGTGACCTCCATAGTAATGGGGACAGGGACTGTCTCTGACATGAACTGACTGGCTTGCTCTTTGATCACCTACCCCAAGGGGGGAACGGTCTTACCAGGCCACAGAAAAAGACAATGCAACCACTCCTGATAAGACCTTATAGACTAGGATCAGAGGGAAGGGGAAGAGGACCTCCCTTATCAGTGGAATTGGAGAGGAACATGAGTGGGGAAGACGGAGGGTGGGATTGGGAGGGGAAGATGAAGGGAGAGACAGTGGGGATACAAAGTGAATAAATTGTAATTAATAAACACTCTCTAAAGCTATTTTTCAAGATAAAAATATTTCAATGCATTTTTTAAATTGTTGTCTCAATTCCAAACTCCTTGTTCCTTCACCATATTTTAATTCTTAAACTTTTTTTTATTAATTACACTTTATTCATTTTTTTTTAATTTTTTTATTTTTATTTTATTTTTCTTTTTAGTTACATTTTGTTAACTCTGTGTCCCAGCTGTATCCCGCTCCCTCATTCCCTCCCCAACCCCACACTCCCTCCCTGGTCTCCTCCCTGCCCCTTTCCAAGTCCCCTGATAGGGGAGGACCTCCTCCCCTTTCATCTGACCCTGTTTTATCAGGTATCTTCAGGGCTGGCTGCAAAGTCCTCCTCTGTGGCCTAACAGACTGCTCCTCCCCTGGGGTGGGGGTCAAACAGCCTGCCCTTGAGATCCTATTAGAAATAGTCCGTGTTCCCCTTACTTTGGAAAACTACTTGGTTACTGAGCTACCACAGGCCACATCCGAGCAGAAGTTCTAGGTTATATCCATAGATGGTCCTTGGTTGAGTGTCAGTCTCAGAAAAGACCCTGTGCCCAGATATATTTGGTCCTTGTGGAGCTCCTATCCTTTCCATATCACACTAACTTCCCTTCTTTCATATGATTCCCTGCACTCTGCCGAGGGTTTGGTTATGAGTCTTAGTGTCTGCTTTGAAACACTGCTAGGTAGAGTCTTTCAGATGCCTTTTGTGGTAGACTCCTGTCATAAGTTCAATGCACATCCCATTTGTCTTTCTAAATGAGGATTAATCACCTTTGCCTGTGTCCACTTTCTTGATTATCTTCTTTAGGTGTGTAGATTTCATTATGTTTATCATGTCTTGTAGGTCTATATAAGCGAGTATATACCAAGTTTGTCTTTCTCCTTCTGGGATACTTCACTCAGAATGATCTTTTCTAGATCCCACCACTTGCCTGCAAATTTCATGATTTCTTCCTTTTTGATTGCTGAGTAGTATTCCATTGTGTAAAAATACTACAGTTTCTGTATCCATTCCTCCGTTGATGGACATCTGGGTTGTTTCCAAGTTCTGGCTATTACAAATAAAGCTGCTACGAACATGGTTGAACAAATGTCCTTGTTGTGTACTTGAGCAAATTTTGGGTATATACCTAGGAGTGGTATAGCTGGGTCTTGAGGTAGCACTACTCCTAGTTGTCTGAGAAAGCGCCAGATTGACTTCCAGAGTGGTTGAACCAGTTTACATTCCCACCAGCAATGGAGGAGGGTTCCCTTTTCTCCACAACCTCTCCAGCATGTGCTATCACTTGAGTTTTTCATCTTGGCCATTCTGATGGGTGTAAGGTGATATCTCAGGGTCGTTTTGATTTGCATTTCCCTAATGGCTAATGAGGTTGAGCATTTCTTTAAGTGTTTCTCTGCCATTCGACGTTCCTCTTTCGAGAATTCTCTGTTTAGCTCTGTTCCCCATTTTTTAAGTAGATTACTTGGTTTGTTGCTTTTCTGCTTCTTTAGTTCTTTATATATACTTGATATTAGCCCTCTGTCAGATAAAGGGTTGGTGAAGATTCTTTCCCAATCTGTAGGCTGTCTATTTGTTTTGATGACAGTGTCTTTTGCTTTACAGAAGCTTTTCAGTTTCATGAGGTCCCATTTATTGATTGTTGCTCTTAGAGCCTGTGCTGTTGGTGTTCTGTTCAGGAAGTTGTCTCCTGTGCCAATGAATTCTAGGCTGTTTCCCACTTTTTTTTCCAGCTGATTTAGAGTATCTGGTTTTATGTTGAGGTCCTTGATCCACTTGGACTTTAGTTTTGTGCAGGGTGATAGATATGGATCTATTTTCATTTTTCTGCATGTAGACATCCAGTTGGTCCAGCACCATTTGTTGAAGATGCTGTCTTTTTTCCATTGAATGGATTTGGCTTCTTTGTCAAATATTGAGAATTCATACGTGTGTGGGTTTATTTCTGGGTCTTCTATGCGATTCCATTGATCCTCCTTTCTGTTTCTATGCCAATACCATGCAGTTTTTATTACTGTTGCCCTGTAGTACAGCTTGAGATCGGGAATGGAGATACCTCCAGATGATCTGTTGTTGTACAGGATCGTTTTGGAGATTCTGGGTTTTTTGTTTCTCCATATGAAGCTGAGAATCTTTTTTTCAAGGTCTGTAAAGAATTGAGTTGGTATTTTGATGGGAATTGCATTGAATCTGTAGATTGCTTTTGGCAGGATGGCCATTTTCACAATGTTAATCCTACCAATCCATGAGCACGGGAGATCTTTCCATCTTCTGAGATCTTCTTCAATTTCTTTCTTCAAAGACTTGAAGTTTTTCTCAAATAGGTCTTTCACTTGCTTGGTTAGAGTCACACCAAGGTACTTTATGTTGTTAGTGGCTATTGTGAAGGGTGTTGTTTCCCTAATTTCTTTCTCAGCCTTTTTGTCTTTGGTATACAAGAGGGCCTCTGATTTTTTTGAGTTGATTTTGTATCCTGCCACTTTGCTGAAGGTGTTTATCAGCTGAAGAAGTTCTCTGGTTGAATCTTTGGGGTCGCT